TTCACTCACCAACATTATTGATTTTCTAATATAGTGACTTAGAAAAGAGCCATGTAGCTTAGCCTTTTCATACCACATATAAGCATGCCTGCCCATTTGCAAATCCTGCCCTTCAAGATACAAGATTCTCTTATTTCTTAAAGTTATCCATTCTTTTAGCCATGTTAAGACAGAAGCTTGATAATACAGCATCCAGTCAGGGAGACCAAAGCCCCCATTCTCTTTAGCCTCCTGAAGTATTTTTAGTTTAATTCTTGGTTTCTTCTTTCTCCATATAAATCTTGAAATTTGAAAATTAAATCTTCAAAAATATTTCTATCAATTTTTATGGGAATCATTTGGAATAAAAAAAGCTTTGGTAATATATTCATTTTAACTAGTGCTATTCTTCCCAGCAAAGATAATTGCAAATTAGCCCATTTTTCCAAATCACTCTTAATATCCTTCAATAGTTTATCATAATCTTTCAGAGTGGTACACTTAGCTGTAAGATAAATTCCCAAATATTTAACCTTTTTAACAATCTGTAAGTCTACTTGTTCCTGCAGAGTTTTTCTCTGGTCCTGTGTGAAATTTTTTACTAACAGTTTCGTCTTTTCTCTATTTATTTTCATCCCAGTAACCTCGCCATATTCTTTAATTCTTTGTAGGAATTTAGGCATTGTTGCAAAGGGTTCTTCTGTTATGTAAACTAGATCATCTGCAAATGCTTGCAATTTATAGCTTTTGTCTCTAATTCCTTTAATGTCTGTATCATCCCTGATATTTCTGTCTAATACCTCTAAGATCAATATGAACAACAGAGGTGATAACGGGCATCCTTGTCTTGTACCCTTTTGTATATCTATTATATTTGTAAATTCTCCATTGATTATAATCCTAGCCAACTGCTTTTGATAGATGCTTGATATCGCATTAATACACTTTTCACCAAACACCATTTGAGCCAACTGTTGCTTCATAAATTGCCAGTTAACATTGTCAAAGGCCTTCTGTGCATCCATGAATAATAGTGCCATTGGTTTTTCCATATGTATCTCATAATGTGGCTGTGCTGAACCGGTGCTTGGCCGAGGTAAGGGAATGGATGAGGGGAAATAAACTGAAACTCAACCCAGACAAGACGGAGGTCCTGTTGGTTGGCGGATCGGGTTTCGGAGAGGGTGGATTTGACCTGGTCCTGAATGGTGCAACACTCCCTCTTAGGGATAAGGTCCGCAGCTTAGGAGTACTCCTCGACCCGGAGCTTTCTTTGGAAGCTCAGGTGACAGCGGTGGCGAGGAACGCCTTCCTTCAGCTTCGGCTGATTAATCAGCTGCTCCCCTACCTGGAGTATGACTGCCTGGTGACGGTGACACACGCGCTGGTGACTTCCCCCCTAGACTTCCGTAATGCGCTTTACGTGGGGCTTCCCCTGAAGACAGTCCGAACACTTCAATTGGTGCAAAATAGAGCTGCCAGGTTGCTGACGGGGATGGGGCGTTATGCTCACATGACTCCAGTCCTCCGTCAGCTTCACTGGCTTCCCATTGAAGCCCGGGCCCAATTCAAGGTGTTGATTATGACTTATAAAGCCCTAAACGGCGTGGGTCCTGGCTACCTGAATGAGCGCTTACGTCCGTATATGCCCGACCGCCCTTTGAGATCTGCGGGAGAGTCCCTTCTCCGGGAACCCTCCATGAAAGAAATTAGGAGAGTAAGTACTCGGAGGAGGGCTTTCTCTGCGGTGGCACCCAACCTATGGAATTCACTCCCCAAAGAGGTCCGCCTTGCACCGTTGTTACTGGTTTTTCGGCGCCAGGTATAGACCGTTTTATTTAAACATCATTTTAATTGTTAAAACATATGATCTGGCCAGGGCAACTTCTTCTTCCTTCTCTTTCTCCTCCTATATTTTTATTTACTTAATTTATACTGATTATTTTAATCTTATATTTGTAAATCAATGTATTTTTTGTATTTTTGTATTTAATGGTAATTTATTATGTGCTATTGTATTTCAATGTATTTTATCGTGTTGTAAGCCGCCCCGAGGTTTCGGCAAGGGGTGGCATAGAAATGTTATAATAATAATAATAATAATAATAATAATAATAATAATAATAATACATCTCATAATACTCTAAGATGTCCAAGATAGTTCTCAAGTTATTCCTCATTTGTCTTTTAGGTAAAAAACCATTTTGATCTGAGTGAATAAAGTCTGTTAGGTACTTCTTCAATCTTTCTGCCATTATGGAGGCAAAAATTTTGTAATCCACGTTTAATAGTGATATAGGTCTATAATTTTGAATCTGAGTCAAGTCCGTATCTTCTTTCGGTATTAATGTGATATTTGCCTCTGTCCAAGTATTTGGTATTTTAGCATTTAACAATGCTGCATTACATATATCCTTAAGAAGTGTAGCAAAAATTCCTTCAAAGGATTTATAAAACTCTGCTGGTAGCCCATCTGGGCCAGGAGTTTAATCTTTCTTTTGTCACTTAATTGCCTCTATTACTTCCATGATTGTTACTTCTTGATTCAATACTTTTTGGTTATTTCTCCGGTAACTTTGGCAAATCTCCCTTTCGGATGTATTGTTTTACTTTCGCAGTTGAAATCTCATCATCCTGGTATAGCTTTGCAAAGAAATCTTCCACTATTTTCTTGATATGTATACTTTGTACTTGCAGTCATCCTTCTCCATCCTTCAGTTTAGAAATCAGTCTCTTCTCTCTCTCTCTTTCTTTACTTTATAGGCTAACCATCTCCCTGGTTTATTAGCATTTTCAAAGAAGTTCTGTTTGGTCAGTTTCATTTGCTTAGTAAGTTCATTTGAGTCCAGGAGATTCAGTTTATGCTTTAGAATATCTATTTGGACCTTAAGGGTTTTTTTGGATCGATCTCCCTGTAATTCTTGTTCCCATTTTGTCAATTTCTCTACTATTTTAGCTCGTTCTTGTTTTTTCTTTTTGTTTATTTTTGCTAAATACGTTATTATCAACCCCCTAACATAGGCTTTGGCTGTATCCCAGACATTCTGGAAAGAGGTTTCTTGAGTTTTATTTATTTGAAAGAATGTTTGCATTTCCTTATTTATCTCTTCTGTGACTTTTTTATCCTTTAATAAGGCTTTGTTTAAGCTCCATCTGGGTGTCATTACTGTCCCTTTCAGTGATATAACTATAGGGTTGTGATCTTCCCAGACATTTGCCTCTATTTCAGCTTCTACCAAGTCTGGTACTAAGTCTGGGGTTATCCAAACCATATCAATTCTAGACCATGACCTATGTCTATTTGAATAAAAAGTATATTCAGCAGAGGTTGGGTTTTTATGTCTCCAAACATCTATCAATCTGAATTCTTCAATCATATTGGAACAAGATTTTGGGAGTATCCTCCTGCCCTTTTTTCCCTTAATCTCACTCTTATGGTCCATTTTCTTATCCACAATTGCATTGAAGTCTCCCATTACACACAGTCTGGTAGTCCAATTGTAAGAGTAGACCATGTAATTTTTGATAAAACATTTCCTGAAGATCGTTTGGGGCATAGATCGCCAGTCAAAGCGCCTTTTTAAGTTTCATTGTGATTTCAACCAACAACTCTGATGTATGAGGTTTATGAGATGATCTTGCTTCACTTTGAGTCTTTGCCAAACAGTCTTCAGCTCTCAATGTCTCACACTGTCTGCAAAATAGAGTTTCCTTGCTTTAAAAGACGGGCTCAGAGGTCTTGAGCTGAGTTTCCACTTTACTCATACCATCCCCAACACATGCTCCTGTTTTAGCTGGAAAGGTGAAACTGCCTGTGTTAGAGCAAACGGAGCAATGTTTCCTTTTAGGCTTGTATGTAGGAAGAGTCAAAGCACTGAAAACACTGGAGTTAGATTAACTGAAGGATCATCTTGCCTCAACTGTCCGTGTGTGGATTCGAAGAATGCCTTGGAGATCCGTCTCCTGGAGATCCTGTCAAAAGGTGTGAGGCGCATGACTATGAAATTCTTGGCTGGCTCACTCTGGTTGTGGAATGAGCTTCACTAACGCCTACACTGCGTTCTTTCCAGCCAGCCCATGCTGTTTCCCCTTGAGGGATGGGGTCCTGGCCTGGTGGGAAGAGGGAGCCGAGGACTGTTTGAAAGCAGCCGCTTGTGCAGAATGAGCCAGCCATGTGACACCAATTCTGACCCTTGTGTACGGGCTGCTTGCAGGCTTCCAAGCAGCGTTGAGGGGTGTTTTTCAACCTGTACAGCCTTACGTAGCTTGGGGACACAGGAGCGGCTGGATGCTTCCCGCAGCCTGGGACTACTGGAGAGCATGAGCTTCCTCTGACTGCCAAATCCAAGAGAAGCTCAGAAAGGGGCAAGAGGGAGGAGAGCCTTTTCAGGGGAGAGCCCCAGATGAGGACCACCCCACTGAAGCCTGCATTCAGGGGTGCCTCCCTCCCTGCTGGCACCTGGCTGGCACCAACATTATCAACTTTTTGGCATCTGGTCGAACTGACTTTCTCTAGCCAGGCATTCAATGTCATTTGAAGACAAGTCATGGGTGACGTCAGCTAATAAAATGGGAAGACGTACCATGGCGCATGCCCCAGGTGCAGTGCCCAGTTGTAACCGGCTGGGGAGTTCTTTCCCAAGTCAGGGGCCCTTTCTAAAGGGGAATGCGCAGCCCTTTGTCCTGCTTAGCTAACGGAGCTGGCAGCCCCACATGACATGCCTAGTGGAGTGCCAGGGTTCATCCACCACTGAGCTCTTAGATAAGAAGCAGGTTTGATTAGGGTCACTGAATGCAATTAAGCAATACAAAGCTCTGGGCCACAGTGCAGAAACTGGACGGTCCATGGCCTGGGTGGCGGCAAAACATGACGTATACGTTGTCCTCACTGATCGCGGGAAAAGCACACAGACCTCACAGACAAAGATTGCACAGTTGCAAGGCAGCCAGAGGCATAGGCTGTGAATTGCTGGATCAATTCTGAGGTGAGCAGCGACTCAATTATGACTGTTGGGGAGGAAGACTATGTACCTGCCTTGTGAATAAGGAACCTGCTGCTTGAAAGTTCTACAGAATGTAGTCTTTCTCTCTCTCTTCAGCTTGAAGGCTGAGCAGAATTTTTGAAGGCTCTTCTGCAAGCCTGGAAGCGCAGCTTGCGTGAGGGTCCCAGAGAAGCTTTTGAGGAGGGAGGGCATTTCTCAGCAGGAACATGGATTCTGTGGTGGGTACGGGGAGAGAGACAAAGCACTGAGCCTTCCCAATTAATTAGCAATGGAATGTGGTCCGCCGTGCCCACGACAGAGATGAGTGGCTGGGTGAGTGGCAGGTTACGAAATAGAAAGAGATTGTGTGGCAGAAGTGGTTCTCATTCAAAGAGCGGCAGCATGCATGATAACTGGCAAGCAAGCATTTTCTGTGTTGGCTGGAGGTGCTACATTTGCCGTTCACCACAACCCCACAGTGATTGATGGGTGCACAATGGGCAGTTCTTGCATGCATGGAATCAGCATGAAATTTAAGGGGAAATGCTGCTGTGCAGAGAAACACTGTCAGTTTTAGAAAGACAATGCATTGGTCTTTATTCCTGGGGAGATACTACTTTGCCCCAATCGTAAGGGCTGCTCTGGGACAAAGGTTTATATACAGGCAATAAATCTATATGCCAATTTTGACTGCGAAATACACATCAAATCTGCTGCATCATCACACACACCTTTCTCTTCCAGACACACCGCATTCCAATGTCATCTGTAAACTATTTGACCTACAAGGGAATCTCTTTCCCTTCATATGGATATGATGTGGAGACGCTCAGCCATGTGGGAAATGAATTCCAACTGTTGGACAGTGATGTAGTGAACCTTGCTTACCTCAAGTCAGGTGGGTGCTGCTGTCACATCCCTACCCTGAATATTCATGTGATCCCACTGTCGAGGCTCTGGTCGAACTGTGGAACGGAGAGATGACCAGGGCTGTGGACACGATCGCTCCCAAGTGTCCTCTCCCTCCGGGCAGAGTCCGCTCTTCCCCTTGGTATACACCTGAATTGCGGGCGATGAAGCGGGTTGGGAGACAACTAGAGCATAGGTGGAGAAAATCACGGGATGAATCTGACCGAACACACTTGAGAGCCCACTATTGGGCCTATGCTGTGGCGGTGAAGGTGGCGAAAAAGAAGTTTTTTTCCGCTTCCATTGCCTCCTCACAATGCTGTCCGGCGGAGCTTTTTCGAGTGGTGCAAGGCCTGGTTCGCCCGGGTCCTAAGGAAGATCCGATGCCACCCTCAAAGGCCCGCTGTGACGACTTTGCCAGGCATTTCAGGGAGAAAATCCCTCAGATTCGTCATGAGCTGGACTCCACTAATGAATCAGAGGTCTCTGGGAGACGCCAATGCTACCGTCTGGTCCAAAATTATTGGAGGAATTTCAATTATTGCGGCCCGATGATGTGGACAAGGTGCTTGGACGAGTACGTCCCACCACTTGCCTATTGGATCCTTGCCCGTCTTGGTTAATAAATAACTCCAAGCACGGGATTGGGACCTGGATCCTGGAAGTGGTTAATGCTTTTCTGAGGGAGGGTTGAGTGCCTGCCCCTTTAAAGGAGGCGGTAATACGACCGGTCCTGAAGAAAGCGTCACTGGATCCAGAGATGGCCACTAACTATAGACCTGTGGCCAACATCCCGTTTCTGGGCAAGGTGTTGGAGTGAGTGGTGGCGGGACAACTCCAAGCACTCTTGGATGAAACTGATTATCTGGATCCTTTTCAGTCCGGCTTCAGACCCGGGTACAGTACTGAATCTGCCTTGGTCGCCCTGTATGATGACCTGTGCAGGGAGAAGGACAGGGGGAGTGCATCCCTGTTGCTTCTTCTGGACCTCTCGCCGGCTTTCGATACCATCGACCATGGTATCCTTCTGGATAGGCTAGCGGGATTGGGGGTTGGAGGCACTGCTTTGCAGTGGTTCTGCTCCTATCTCAACAGTCAATTCCAGAAGGTAGTGCTGGGGGACTATGTCTCTGCGCCAAGGCAGCTATGCCATGGAGTACCACAGGGCTCCATTCTATCCCCTCTGCTATTTAACATCTATATGAAACCGCTGGGAGAGGTCATCAGGAGGTGTGGGCTGCGGAATCATCAATAAGCTGATGATACCCAGCTCTACCTCTCGTTTTCCACTAATCCAGGTGAGGCAGTGGCTGTGCTGAACCGGTGCTCGGCCGAGGTAAGGGAATGGATGAGGGCCAACAAACTGAAACTCAATCCAGACAAGACGGAGTTGCTGTTGGTTGGCGGATCGGGCTTCGGAGAGGGTGGATTTGACCTGGTCCTGAATGGTGCAACACTCCCTCTCAGGGACAAGGTCCGCAGCTTGGGAGTACTCCTCGACCCGGAGCTTTCTTTGGAAGCTCAGGTGACAGTGGTGGCGAGGAGCGCCTTCCTTCAGCTTCGGCTGATTAATCAGCTGCTCCCCTACCTGGAGTACGACTGCCTGGCGATGGTGACCCACGCGCTGGTGACTTCCCCCCTAGACTTCTGTAACGCGCTTTAAGTGGGGCTTCCCCTGAAGATGGTCTGAACACTTCAATTGGTGCAAAATAGAGCTGCCAGGTTGCTGACAGGGACGGGGCGTTATGCTCACATGACTCCAGTCCTCCGTCAGCTTAACTGGCTTCCCATTGAAGCCCGGGCCCAATCCAAGGTGTTGGTTATGACCTATAAAGCCCTAAACGGCTTGGGTCCTGGCTACCTGAACGAGCGCTTACGTCCGTATATGCCCGACCACCCCTTGAGATCTGCGGGAGAGTCCCTTCTCCGGGAACCCTCCATGAAAGAAATTAGGAGAGTAAGTACTCGGAGAAGGGCTTTCTCTGCAGTGGCACCCAACCTATGGAATTCACTCCCCAAAGAGGTCCGCCTGGCACCGTCGTTACTGGTTTTTCGGCGCCAGGTAAAGACCTTTTTATTTAAACATCATTTTAATTGTTAACATATATGATCTGGCCAGGGCAACTTCTTCTTCCTCCTCTTTCCTCCTCCTATATTCTTTATTTACTTATTTTATACTGTTAATTTTAATTTTATATTATTGTATCTCAGTGTATTTTTTGTATTTTTGTATTTATTGGTAATTTATTATGTTCTATTGTATCTCAATGTATCTTATTGTGTTGTAAGCTGCCCCAAGGCTTCGGCAAGGGGCGGCATAGAAATGTTATAATAATAATAATAATGACTGAGTGTTCCTGCGGCCAGGCTGCATGTTCTGCAGGCATTTTGAAAGTGGAGCTCCAACCAACAGTCCTCCATGCCACTCCGTGCTCTACAGCTGTTCTTCCTCCTTCGGGCGATAGAACTGCTTTTGCAAGCCCATGGTGGAGAATTCTCTCAGTGGGTACCTGTCACGACACAGTATTATCTCTTCACCATCAAAGGATTCCCACTTCTCATTGCCAGTAGCTGGGGAAAATGGTTTGGAGGTGTCATTGCCCATGGACATCCAGTTGCAGCATGTGCTTGGCCTTTGTGGCAACGCCCTGTATGATGACCTGTGCAGGGAGAGAGACAGGGGGAGTGCGTCCCTGTTGGTCCTCCTGGACCTCTCGGTGGCTTTCGATACCATTGACCATGGTATCCATCTGAATAGGCTAGCGGGACTGGGGGTTGGAGGCACTACTTTGCAGTGGTTCCGCTTCTATCTCAATGGCTGATTCCAGAAGGTGGTGCTGGGGGGACTATGGCTTTGTGCCATGGCAGTTATGCCATGGAGTCCCGCAGAGATCCATTTTGTTCCCCTTGCTATTTAACATCTACATGAAACCGCTGGGAGAGGACATTAGGAGGTGTGGGCTGTGGAATCATCAGTACGCTGATGGTACCCAGCTCTACCTCTCGTTTTCAACCAAACCAGGTGAGGCAGTGGCTGTACTGAACCGGTGCCTGGCCAAGGTAATGGGCTGGATGAGGGCCAATAAACTGAAGCTCAGTCTCGACAAGATGGAGGTCTTGTTGGTAGGAGGATTGGGCTTCGGGGAAGGGGACCTTGACCTAGGCCTGAATGGGGTTGCACTCCCTCTGAAGGACAAGGTCTGCAGCTTGGGAGTGCTCCTCGATCCAGAGCTATCGTTGGGAAGCTCAAGTGACAGTGGTGGCGAGGAACGCTTTCCTTCAGCTTCGGCTGATTCACCAGCTGCATCCTACCTGGAGAACGACTGCCTGGCAACAGTGACACACGCATTGGTAACTTCCCGACTAGACTTCTGTAACACATTCTATGTGGGGCTGCCCTTGAAGACGGTCCGGATACTTCAGATGGTACAAAATAGAGCTGCCAGGTTGCTGACGGGACTGGGTGTTGTGCTCACATAACCCCAGTCCTCCGTCAGCGTCACTGGCTCCCCAGTGAAGTCCGGGCCCAGTTCAAGGTGTTGGTTATCACCTATAAAGCCCTTAACGGCTTGGGACCAGGTTACCTGAAAGAGCGCTTACGTCCATACGTGCCCTCTCGCCCCTTGGGATCAGCGGCAGAGGCCCTTCTCCGGGAGCCCTTCATGAAGGACATTAGGAGGGTGAGTACCCGGAGGAGGGCTTTCTCTGCGGTGGCGCCCAACCTATGGAATGCACTCCCCAGAGAGGTCCGCCTGGCACCATCGTTATTTGCTTTTCGGCACCAGGTCAAGACCTTTTTATTTAAACGTCATTTCAATTGTTGATTTTATTTATTGATTTTAACAACTTTGGCCAGGATGTCTCCAAATTTATATTATTGTATTGGTGGTATTTATTTATGTTTGTAAGCCACCACAAGGCTTATGCCAAGGGGGTGGCATATACATTTGCTAGCTAAATAGATAGATAGATAGATAGATAGATAGATAGATAGATAGATAGATAGATAAGAGTCGAGGGTGGACAGGCAGCCTCTTCTTCCCTTCTTCCATAGGCCAGTGGACTACGGCTTTCCTTGGTCCTCAGAGTGATGCTGCCCCTGGCCGGGCACGGCATGGCAGGCTGCATCAAAATGAGAGTGCTCTGGGAGAGAAGCACCACTTGGTCACTGGACGTGTGCCATCCCTGAACTTTCCCTGGATTCTGAGAAGGAGCATAGGAGCAAACTGGTGGGTGGTGATCAGTGGAGGGCGTGCCAAGAATCCTGGGGAGTTTGTGTGAGAGCATCAAGCTGAAAAGCCGTGGGATGCCTTGATCGAATCTCATCACTGCTGCTTATGGAGAGCCGCCTCTGAGAGTTAACTGCAGGGTGGACCAAGGTGGTCATCCATTGGGTCATTTGGGTTCCTCATTAAGATTTTAGCTTCCTGCCACTCAGAAATGAACGTACTCAAGTACACACGACCCGCTGAATGGTTCACGAATGCATTGAATCCTGGCCTTCTGGGATGTTCCGCATCTGCCAGATCTTTAGACAATTGAAAGGGGGTTCCTTGCAGAAGGGTGAATGTTGGGAAAGAAGGGGCATTTGTGTGACTATTGGAATTGTTGCAGGTACCAATTGGATGCAGGAGATTTTGGGCTTGATTTGGCATGATGGGGACCCATCATGGGTTCAAAGTGTGCATGTGGGGATTCGTTCACCATGGATTGAGACTGTTTTTGGCCTGAAGACTGCACTAGAGATTCCTCCACCCAGACTCTTGGCTTCTCACCTGCCATTTCAGCTCTTCCCGAAGTCTTTCCTCCACTCCAAGGCCAAGGTAAGAGAGGACAAATGTACAACTGACCCATGTAATAAGACTGAAGCTAATTCCCATGTGTGTAATGAAAGAGCATGCACATGATTCTGAATAGAAAAACATTAAAATAAAGCTATTTTCAAAGAATTGACATCTCCCCTTTGGATTAGCAGTCCCTCCCTATTGTATATGAAATCGTAGGAAGAATTTGTCGTGGTAATGCCCTCATCCATGCCTCTTCAGTGCAGCTTGAATGACTAGTATTTGGGAGTCTTTCTCCAGTTCTGTGACATTCTGTTTCCTGACCTGGAATACTGGGAAATGTTGCTCCTGCTTTCTTTGTTTCCTTGTTTCCCAGTTGTGGGGAACAACCTGTCATTTGATCACGGAGGAAATCCGTACCATCTACGATCCTCTGGCTCTGCTGCTGCTCCAGGACTTTAGCAGTGGCCACAGTGGGTGGAGGGCTTTCGTGAAGGTTTCCTGTAGTGATGCTCTCTAACTGGATGGAGATGCTGCCACCTTGTGATGCCACCCCTACCTCTCCTACAGGTGATCTACACCATGCGGAATCCCAAGGATGTGCTCATCTCATACTATCATCATTCCTACCTCTTTAAATTGTTTAAGGACCCTGGAAGTCTGGAAGAATTCCTGGAGGAATTTCTGAATGGGAATGGTACGCAGTGACACACTCAGTTCACTTCAGCTATTCACCTGGCCACGCACCACAAGGATTCTCAAACAGCCGTGTCACCACTGAGTTGCCCTCCCCTCCTTTGGCCAAAAGCACAAGCCAGCTTTCCTTGATCCCCTGTCACTTCTTGCTAAATAGGTGCAATCAAATACATTTACATCCTGTAGTCCTCAAGGCCCTGGTGTGCATGGTGTTTTTGCATGATGTTCTCATGAAGTGAGCTGTTCCCATGAAGTGCTTGCCTCTGCTTTGCCCTTCCAGTGCCCTATGGCTCCTGGTTTGACCATGTGAAAAACTGGCTGGAGATGAAGGACAAGCCCAACTTCTTCTATATCACCTATGAAGAGCTGCAGCAGGTATGGTTCAACTTTGGGCCATTTCTCCCAAGCACATGTAGTTGAGTTCCTTCTTTCTCATCCCTCTAAGGGATTTCTTCTTACCTGAAAAGCTGTAAAGCGTGAAAATTCTTTGTGAACATAAGAGGAGTCCTGCTGGATTAGACCAAGATCCACCCAGTGCAATTTTGTGTTCATACCCTGGCCTACAGCTTCATTCATTGGGACCTGGTCTAGGGAGGCTCCCTCCTTCAGGCTCAAGGACAGTAAGGAGGAAAGCAGACCAACGTGTCAAAGGTGATAAAGGGTTTGTTGAATTTTATGTGGCATATGGAAGGAGATGATCCTTCTCTGTGGCTGCACTGGTTCCCCACATGGGTCAGGCGATGCTCTGTGGGTCCTCAAAGGTGATGATCCTTTTCCTCTCATCGTTTCCCTCACAATAGCCCTGGGAGGTCAATAGGTTGTGAGTCAGTGAATGGTCCAAACTCAGCAAGTGGGCTTTGTAGCTGAGTGGGGCTAGACACCACATCTCCCACACCCACTCCAGTACTCTAACCACTGCACAGCGCTGGGCGTCCAAATGGCATGTGACGCCCACAGCACTCAAGCAATCTGCCATGTGATGTACAGACCCATCACTAACTCAACTATCTGCGTGTGTATCGTCCATGAGATGTTTCTCATGTGCAGAATGGTTTTCACTGCGATACAACGGGACAGGCATGCCTGACATGTTGGTATTCATACTGGCCATAGGGTTTCGTGAAGAGCTACCATGGCAGCCCTGGAATTCAGCCTCCGACCTAGCAACCTGTTCTTGTTCTCCGGAGTCTCTTAACTAAATATTTTCAGTCCTTTGGTGCCAAGTTCCAGTTGCCACCACCATCAACTATTATAATTTCCTTTGCGTTGCTTTGCGTTGCGTTGCTTTGCGTTGCGTTGCTTTGCTTGCTTCTCCCCCAGGACCTCCGTGGCAGTGTGGAGCGGATCTGCTCCTTCCTTGGCAAGGAGCTGAACAGCCAGCAAATTGATTCCGTGGTGGAAAACGCCTCCTTTCACAAGATGAAGGACAATAAGATGTCCAACTTCACCCAGGTGCCAGAGGAACTGATTGACCACAAGAAAGGGACCTTCATGAGGAAAGGTACAATGGATACTCCTGGTCATCTAGTATTGGCACGGGTGCAATTGGTGGAGTTCAGCTGGGACTCACTCACCAGAAGACATAATGGGGGAATGTGATGTGCCTTGGGCTAGAGCTTCCCTATAGGCCAGCTTAACTCCTGGGGGTCAAGGCCTGACTCCATATTGGAGTGGTTTCAGATGGCCCTTTCCCCCAGGAGAAGCCATGGACATGCCTCGTGCTGCACACACCAATCCCTCCAACCCCTTGATGTTCCAGGGATCACTGGGGACTGGAAGAACCACCTGACCGTGGCACAGAGTGAGCGCTTCGACTGTGCTTACCAAGAGAAGATGCGGGGCGTGCACATGAGCTTCCCATGGGAATAAAGAGTCCATGATCTTCCTCATTCTTTTTGTTTCCAGCACTCTACCTCTCCTTCAGGTGTGGCTCCTCCCCTTAATAAACAGCATTCTTTGACTGGCTATTCTTCTTCCTGGTGAAGTGATGGACATGGAGCAGTCATTGCACCTTGTAGGGTGCACAGGAGCATAGGTTGTGCTGCTGGGGCTCCTGGAGTCAGCCAGGGCAGGAGAGCCACCAGTGGGCTCAGGTCAGCATTCAGCTGAAGGAATCAGCTAACGTGGGGCTGTGTGAGCACTGTGGGTTCCCCTAAAGAGCATGAAGGCAGGATGCACATGCAAGAGAAGGGTAGAAAGGAAGCAGAGGAGGAGAACAGGAGGAACGGGGGCAGGAGCACTGCAATGCCCCATGGATGCATTCTCTTTGCAAACCCAGGTTAGGCTCTTACGCCTATGGCTCCCATGAGGATGCCATAGACCCAAACAACATTGCTTCCAAATCCGGTCCTACACAACCACAGTTCCAGTACCTGTCAGGGCTACAATTGCAGTGCCAATTTGTGAGTTCTTGTAATTCCTTTTGCACAATGTCTAGAACACTGTGAAGGTGCAGTTCCAAAAGTTCTGGTCCTGAATGCTAAATTTTTGAATTGATTGGGAAATATTTTTGAGATCACTCAGTGGCAAGACATCTGGGATGAGCCATTTGATCATGCGCAAGCAGAGGGGGGCTTGGGTGAATAAGGTGGCTGTGCCATTTGTGAGGTGCGGTAGGGAGGCCTGTGGGGTTTACTGGGATGGGGGGTACTTTGGGCTTACTTCAGGTATCCTCAAAAAGCTTTTCAGAAGTGAAGGCAGACCTACCAAGACCATGAATTCTGTGATGGGTATGGAAATGGACTCAAAGAGCTTGACTTTTAATGCAAACGACTTTGTGTCCCTTTTAGTTGGTGTACTGCAGTTACAATTTGGAGAAACGGACTAGGATCTAAGACCCACTTTCCATAACTTTCATCCATTTCAGTGTGCCAGTATTTTGTCCCATTGCTCTCATTAAGGATCTTGATGTCATGCTTTAATCTGAGCTCTGCAAAAGGAGGCCGGCCTTCTGAGCAGTTTTTGCAAACAGGGACTCATCTGAAATCCCCACATTTTACAGTGTGAAAAAGTGCCAGCAAAACTTTGGTACTTTTGGACCACAAGAAAGGGAGGTTCTTGAGGAAGCGTACAAATGCATCCTCCTTGATATGGGTGCAATTGCTCAAGTTCAGCTGGGAGCCCTGGCCAAAAGGGATGGAAGGCAAGAAATGATGTTCTGCCAACACTGTTATTGTTCTCCATGTCTTGTCCAGAGGTGGGTGGGCCTGTTAGAGAAGGCAAGTCACTTTTGTGAGTTGCTTATCTTCATGGTTATTGCTCCTTTTTGTGATATTCCATGGTTTTACTGGGACTGGAGGAATCAGCTGTCTGTTACACAGAGCAAACATTTTGACCACATTGATGAGCAGAAAATGTGAGGTATGTGTGTGATCCTCCAATGGAAATGATGATTGCTGGATATTTTTAGCTCTATTTGTTTCTAGTCCTCTGTTTATTCTTTGGTTGAGGCTCCATTCACTTAATGCACAGTCTTTCCCCTGGCAATTCTAACTTCTTTGTAATTCTTTTCAAAAGTCAACTCTTTCTTATAAAATTGAATGAGAATGCTGAACAATTTATGGAAGATGTTTTCAGCAGAGCAGTTCTCATTTTTGTTCACAAAGTGAACTTCTTTGGGGGTTGCTCCCTTCTGTCTGTTGGGAATTAAAAGATCCACCTGATGGTGGCACAGTGCTAAAACTTGAAATGTATTCATCAGAAGTTTATGTGTGTGAATGTGAGCTTCTTACTGGACTGAAGATGCCATAATGTCCAGCCTAGGACTCCTAGTGATATCAAGCAGAAAGCACTGTGCTTTCCTGAAAAAAATGGAACAAGGTTATTAAGATTCAGCAGGTTGAACTTTGAACATTGAACTTTCCTAGTGCCCAAAACTTGCCTTTCTCATAAATAGGAACTGCTTTTTCTGTAAGGATGAAACTGCCTTACTGAAGCACCTTTGCCCCTCTATCACTCAAAAAGGGGGATTGGATCCTGTGTGCATCCAAACAGACCCTGAAACCATGAGAAAGAGTATACAAATCCATGGAAGCTTCTGCTTGTGGCTTGGCGTATCCCCCTCTCCCCCTCCGGGTACTGTTTGGATGCTGGAGATCTCGGGCTTGATATGCTATGATGGGGACCCCTCTGGGGTTTGCAATGTGAAACTATTGGAACAGGCACCCTGGACTGAGTTTACTTCTGGCCTGGAGAATGCTTCGAAAAGGATCCTGGCTAGTCATCTCCCATTTCACTTTTTCCTAAATCCTTTCTCCATTTCAAGGCCAAGGTAAGAGGAGCAATTCATCAGGACTGCCTTTGGTCCCACATGACTCCAGCACAACTATGGGCTCAGTACCTATTTGACATTCCAGCCATGTATAGGAAAGTAGCCTGCTGTACCCTCAACTGAAGTATGGAGGGGTCTATAGGAAATTCTGCCCCATGATTGCTCTGATACTTGGAGAACACATGTTGGCCCCGCTTGCTAGGTTTCTGTGGTTTGGAACTGGGCAGCATCTCAGAATGCACATTGATGTCAAATTTCAGATAATTTAAAGAATGGTCCATGGCCCCTAGCTGGGGGAGCAGCAGGGAGAGGCACTGCCGGATCTGAGGCTGGTGACAAAGTTCTGATGTCAGAGCTGGGAATCCATCCTTCAAGCTCCTTGATTTTCTCCCAGCCAGTGTGGAAAGCACCTTGCTAGTTGTCTCTCCAAGGCTGAGAAACTGGCCCCAAAGATGGGATAAAAGGGTGGGAGGGGGAGAGAACTAGGACAGCCAGAAAATGAGGTATGTTGAAGATGCTTCAGCCTCCCTCCTTCCTGCCTGCCTTCCTCTTCTGAAGTGCCTCCCTTAGATGGTTGAAAATAGCTCAAAAGAAAAGAAGGGATGGCCAGGTGGTAGAGTTTGTCTCCACCACACCTCCCTTTCTTCACTGGCTGCTCATAAGCTTCTGAGTTCAGGGGCCTGAAAGCATCAAGATGCAATCAATAGGAACATGCACGTAATCTTCTACCAATCTGTGGTAGACAACAAGAGAAGGTGAATTTTAAAACAAGCTTTTTTTAAAACAAAGACCTTCCTAAAATTCAGTTTACAATCCTGCACTGTCACAAGATGACGTTGCTGTGGGGCATCATGGGAAACTAAAATGGTACCACTTGTACTAACCAGTGATTAACCACCAAGATTTTTATCTGTCTGTTTGTTTGAAGAAGAGACAGGGGAGGACTCGAGTAGGCACTGCTGCAGGACTGGGTGCCCAACAGGTGCTTGAAGGAGCTGGATGTGTGGGCACCAGAACCCAACCCAATCATTCATCCTGCCTCCAAATCCTAACGACCTCTTTCTACCTGAAGTTTAGATGATTGCCAAGCACGGGGAAACACAACCAAGCAAAATCATGGAATGTAATCCAGAAGACAAATATGGGCCTATTTCTTCTGAGCAGTCAATGACACACCCTTGGAGTGAGCAGTGCTACCACTCTCCTGCCCTGTGCCCTTACAGGCCCAGCTGAATCCGAGCAGGTGTTGCTGGATGATCCTTCAAGAGCCCCAGTCCTTCCTTGTTCCACCCAGTCTCTCCTCTTTGCTAAAAGTTACACAGAGACAAAGTGCATCTGCTGCAACTGGAGCAGAGGAGCCATCCTTGTCCCTGTGGGATGTGTAAACCACTTCAAAATGTGGGTGCGTTGCATGACTTGACCTAAGGAATGTGTGCTGATTAGCAAACATACCAAGATTTGCACTAGGCTATGGGTCTTATTCCCTGCTGCTCCCAGAAGCTCATCTGAGCAAAAGGAGGACAAAGGTGTTACCCTGAAGTATCCTTATGGTGTGAGGTTAAACATTTACCACTGAGTACTAAGATTCACAAAGCAAATGCTATTCCTTGGTACGAAGGTTGAACTTTACTGCCTTATATTTCTCAGGTCATAGAGTATCTTCTACTGATTTTTTCAGCCATAGGAGCAGCTTCCCCTTCATGTATCACTGCCTTGTCATGGTGAAGGGGCTTGCGTAGCTCAATGAAGCTATGAGCTATGCTGCGCAGGGCCACCCAAGACGGACAGGTCATAGCAGAGAGCTCTGACAAAACGTGATCCATTGGAGAAGGAAATGGCAACCCACTCCAGTATCTTTGCCATGAAAATCCCATGGACAGTACCAAAAGGCAGAAAGATATGATGCCGGAAGATGAGCCCTTCAGGTCGGAAGAGGTTCAATATGCTACTGGGGAAGAGCGGAGGGCTAGTAGTGCCAGAAAGAATGAAGTGACTGGGTCAAAGCTGAAAGGAGAGTCAGTTGCTGATGTATCTGGTGGTAAAAGGAGAGTCTGATGCTGTAAAGACCCATCCTCCATAGGAACCTGGAATGTAAGGTCTGTGAATCAAGGCAAGCTGGATGTGGTCAAACAAGAGATGACAAGACTGAACATCGACATCTTAGGAATCAGTGAACTAAAATGGACAGGAATGGGTGAATTTAATGCAGATGACCATCAGGTATACTACTGCAGGCAAGAATCTCTCAGAAGAAATGGAGTGGCCTTCATAGTCAATAAAAGAGTAGGAAAAGCAGTACTGGGATACAACCTCCAAAATGACAGAATGATCTCAGTTTGAATCCAAGGCAAACCATTCAACATCACAGTAATTCAAGTCTATGCCCCAACCATTGGCGCTGAAGAGGCTGAAGTTGACTGGTTCTATGAAGGCCTACAACACCTTCTAGAATTAACACCAAAAAATGATGTCCTTATCATCATGGGGGATTGGAATGCTAAAGTAGGAAGCCAAAAGATAACTGGAATAACAGGCAAGTTTGGCCTTGGAGTACAAAATGAAGCAGAACACAGGCTGGTAGAATTTTGTCAAGAGAATACGATGGTCATAGCAAACACTCTTTTCCAACAACCCAAGAGACAACTCTACACATGGACATCACCAGACGGTCAACGCAGAAATCAGATTG